ACCCATTTGTCCAACAGCCCGTTAAATGGAATACAAATGCCCATTGCTCTGAAGGCCCATTGCTCTGAAAATACCACCCTGGAATAACACCAAAGCATGTAACGCAACATGTACTTTTCACCCCTAGACAGGGAAAAAATTGAAGGTTGCTGTTTGTTAAGGTTTAGGCAAAACTACTCGGTTACATTTTTGGAAAAGGTCGTGGTCTGGGTTAAAATACAACTCGGTATGACGCTGTATCACGACTCAGGTGGTACTGGTGGTACTCAAAGTACTCAAGGAAGAATGACTATTTAGTCAGCACCATGGACAGCGCCGGCAATAGGCGTTTGTTTCCAATTTTTCATTTTTCGGACTATTGGGGGTTCTAATATTGTGAGAAAAATGGCATGGCATCAATAGTTTAGTCATAGCTTAGCAAGTGTAACTCGACAAGGCAAACGTGTCAATCTTTAAATTTCAACACATGCAAAAATGCTGTGTTAGGGGCTTCATTTAGAGCCATACTCGGTTAACAAAGAGTTCAAAACCAAAAATACAAGAGCAAATTTGTAACAAATGGTTGAAACAAAATGTTACCCTGCTAATAGCTTACTACCTACAGTTGTGGCCTTGCTTAATAACTGCAGCGCTTATCGAACCATCAGTTGCAAATGAATAAAGCAGCACTGTTTTATCTATCAAAGACACACTTCAGACATTCCTCACTTCAAAACAGACACACTTCACATAAGCACTAAAAGCATCATCATCTTCAAATTAGGAATCAAATATTTTTTTTATTCAAAGGTGCGGTTTAAAAAAAAAAAACTGCGAGTGTGACTCTGCGTGGGTCTGCAGAGTCACCCCTTTGTATATCTGTAGCCAAGCACCACGCAGATCCGCAGTCCGATGACCAAACCACACAAGGCTATAAGACGAGTAGAGAGAGAGAGAGGGAGAGGGAAAAAAAACAGAGAGCAAGACCCTAGTGTTTCGCTAGCCATTTCCAGGTCCGCCTTACATAAAATGCAACGCTGCCCACACACACAGAAAGACTTATGTAATTCCCTCAGAGAAAGAGAGACACACAGAGAGGGAGAAACAGAAGGGAAAGATAAAAGATAAAATGATGAAAAGAGAACAGAAAAGCTGGGACTGAAAATTAAAGCTTGGTAAGGAAATCACAACTTCAGTAGGCCTGCAGCGCTGCAGTTCAAGCTGTCAGACTAGAAATATAATAAGCAGACGGAGACAAACACTGCATATCTAACAAGGTGTTTTTGCACCTGAGGGCAGCAGCAGCAGCAGCAGCCGGGAACCCAGCAGGATAGACCAGAAAGTCTGATGCGCACTGAGCACTTAACAAATAGATAAAGAAACAGTATAGGGCAAGACCTGTCTGAAAGGAGATGGAGGGAGTAGAGGGAGGGAAAGGATTGCTGAGCCCAACAGGGGGAATCTAATCTGTGGGGAGTTGTATGGAGAAAAGTGGAGTTTCTAAATTACATTCCCAGTGCAGTAGAGGGAGAATGGGCTCGCAGAGGCCAAACTGGAGTGAGCATTCAAAGTGCCAAAAATCTGCAGCCTGCTAATGGGTATTTTGGAAAGGGGGATTTCATTGTGCAAATGTTGACTGACTGCTAGAGAAAACCTGACTTTTTTTTACAGCTTTTTGCAGAAGAGATGAGAAATTTGGAATGAAATCTGAGCACAGAAGCAAAACTGGCCAGAAGGACTGACCGACTTGCTGGCTGAGCGAGTGATGACGGAGTGATGGACTGACTCAAACACTTACAGAAGACCATTTTTTAGCAGATCTGAGAAAACAACAGGTGCTATAGGTATCAGTGCTGAACTACATTCTCCTTTAGATTTTCAAGGTATTTGGTACAAAACCAAAATTTGTGCTGCCTAAGAACAAGTAAAAGTATGATTTAAGCAGAAAACATCACCAGATGTCACTCATTAGACTGCTGCGTCATGCATCTGTTAATCAGATATACACATTTTTCATATGACCAGTTATTGATTTGCAAGTATTCAAGACAAAATAAGTAAGGCTTTCAGGGCTGGAGGTGAAGCGGAAGTTAAATTGACCTCAATGAAGCTGAAGAGGAGGATGAAAAAAACACTGAAGTTAAAATTTTCAGGAGAACAGTGTAGGACGAGAGAGATCACTGACAGTGAGCAGCTGCTCAGTGAGAGGCTCAGCCTGGTGCAGATGGACAACATCATGGTGTCCAGATTTGTCCACCTCCAGACCAGTATCCCATCAGGTTACAGAAAAGCACATTGGCGCCACCAAGGGATCAGTGGTTTCATCGTTACATGAACAACCTTAACAGTTTGTGCCACCTCCAGATGTTCCCCGATGACGGCTTTGACGTGTTATGCATGAGTGACACAGAGTAAGAGGTGAACATTGGTCTGGTGAAGAGTTTTGACAGGTGCTGCGAGGGGAACCACCTACAGCTCAGAGTCTGGAAGGTGAAGGAGCGAGAAATAAACTATCCAGCCATCCAGAGTGAGTTGGTGAATGAAGTGGAATGCAAAGTGCACGCAGAAGGAAAAGCAGTCTTAAAGGTTATGAATATGTTCGTCAGTTGTGTTTAATTTTGTAACTTTACTTCTAATTTGAACTGATTTAAAGTGTTCATAAAAGCCACAAAACAAGCTGGAACGTTGTCCCTTTAAGCTGGTGAATGAATTAACTCTTCTATGTGAGTTTTCCGCATGTGAACGCACCACCAGATGTTTGTTCAGGTGTGCTGGAAAAGGAACATAAACATAAATGGATGCAGAAATGTGTTAAAGGATTTATCCTGTGGGTTTGAATGCATAACAAAAACTTGCACACAAACACAAGTATTCAGTGTGATTACTTCCAGGGAGACATTGATTTCCATTCATATTAGGAGGGTAAAGGTCAGCTTGCCTGAGATAGGTAATCAAAGAAAACACTCAGTGGTGCAGTAAT